CCGCTCCTGCTGCTGTAGCTTTTGCTGCTGCGTTTGCTGCTGCTGTTTGCAATGGTCCGCTTTCTTCCCCCTCACCTGAGAAGGAGGTAACTCCTCACAGTTGATTTCCTGGGCTGCCAGTTGGTTCGAGTTTGTCTTCGTTTCCGAGTTCAAACGCATGCGTTTCATGCCCCTCTCGCCGTCTCCTCGGTCTTCTCCAGTTGAATGCCTCTTCTGCTTCTTCTTCTTCTTCTTGCTCTTACTGCCGTGTGGGCTCTCCCCGACGGAGCCATGTGCAGCCCTCGGTGCAGCATCAGGTGCACACACAGTGTCAACAGCCGCCTGCCGCTGCTGCTGCTGATGCTGCTTAGCTGGAGCACTTGCGGTCTGCTGTGATGTATCGCTCGATTGATTACGAACTGCGAAGTCTGCAGAAGGATCGTGGTGCTGCGCCTTCTGCCCCAGTAAGTGACCAGCTGTACGTACAGTCGATAGGGGCCTTCCCCTCGGTTCGACTCGTCTGGACTTGTAACGCAAAGAAAGCATTGCTACGACAGCAGCGACTTGCGCCGCTGAAATATGTGTCGNCGTCTGGACTTGTAACGCAAAGAAAGCATTGCTACGACAGCAGCGACTTGCGCCGCTGAAATATGTGTCGAGATACAACCGGCTTGCTCCGAAGTTCTGCTGCGGCCTCCATCGATCAAACGAGCGCAATTTAATGCACCTTTCCCTGAGCAGTTCACTAGAATGTGTAAAACAAGCCCTGAAATGTTTGTGTACGGATTCGGCTCATTTGAGCATACAAGCGACGGAGCTACTCTTACACCCGTGTTACAGCTTTTGCATGACTGCCTGTAGTTCCTCCGCTGGCTATTCGTCCTATTCAAGGGGATCTCTTCACTAAAAAATCAAAATCATTGTGGTAGCTGAAGCGTTTAACTTGTCTTTCCCCACAGCTCCCCACCTGGCTGGGATCCACAGGAAAGCAACGAACCTTCCATGGGGCTGATTTGCGTTTCGAGCAGCTGCCATGAAGAGCAAGGCCCGACGAAGCAGATGCTTTAAATGGATTTTCTGTTTTGTTGTTTTAGGGAACTCTGACGCTCTGTGAATGCCGTTGTTTCGCGGAATCCGTTCCCCACTAGAGAGCGTTGGGCATGGCGGTGCGCCGGAGGAGGACGCCGTTTCTCTTGTTCGTTCGCTGGGGATTAACCTGCTCTTTGTAGCCATATAAAGGAGTATCAAAGGCAAAATGGCGTTAGAAACGATGCCAGCGGGACCGATTGTAACCGTTGCGAAGCGAGATGTCTCCGCTGGTCGCCCGGGTTCCCCGACGGGAAACAACCTCGCAATAAGCGACAAGGAGCTGAGGACAGAGGGGAACTCCAGCGAGGAGTTACCTCAGGCTTCTGATGCTCGCGAAGAAAGGCGTGCGCGTGCCACACGATACAAGAGGTCTATCAGTTCATCATGGGGACTGGGGGAGGGGGTAACAGGACGAATGACAGCAGTCGCTATTCTCGGCCTGCTTTTACTGTCTATCAGTATACCTATTGCAGTGTTCAAACTGCACAGGATGCAGGGCGGGCGGCATCAGCATCCATTCGACCTACTGCCGATGCATGAGCCCGATGCGGCAGAGCATCCGCCGCGTCACGACCAGGATCCAGCGGCGGCCGGGGGTCCGGATGCTCCTGCACAGGATTCCCAAGAAGCAGTCCAGCTGCCTATAACGCGGGACCTGCACGAGTCATTCCTCGCGCTGAAACACACTGGCGACCACGGCCTGCTGTTATCCGTGCGGGGCCCTGACTGGGACAGTTCTCGTGAGGAGTTTCTTGCTGCTTTGGACCGGGTTGCAGATATGTCCCCTTCTCTGTTCGAAAACACATACAACAAGAGCGAGGAAACACTCCGCCTCATGATGGCCATGGACTTGGCCTGTTTGGAGAACACAGCAGTCGAGACGAAACTCGCCATTGAAGACGCCCGACCCGGGCACTCGGGGGGATACACAGAGGAGATGGCTGTGCGGTTTCAGCAGCACATGCAAGCAAGGCGGAAGCAGGTAAAGGCGGTGGATATGTGGGAGACAGCGGTGGTGAACGACGAGCTGGGAGCTGATCCCGCCCTGAAGGACAGTCTCATGAAGCTGCTGCTGGCAGTACGCAGCAGAGCTGCAAGCAGCGAATACCTAACTGCTGCTTCAGCAGAGGCGCTCTTCTCTTCAGAACCCATCGTTAGAAGACAGGCAGAAGAAAACAGAATTCATGAGGGAGTCGCGTACCTCATCAAGGCTGGCCAACTTGCGGCGAGTGACATTTTAATCAAGACCTATGTGGCACCNGCTGCTCAGATGTACGTCAACAGTTTCTGCGGCTAAACCGTCGCACGCATACAGAAACAGTCGCTCGACTTTTATTATTTGCAAAAGACTGCAATATCTGCTAGTTTATATATAATAGTACTAGAAGGAGAACGGACGAGACAGCTGCTGTGTTGAGGTATTTTGAGGCTGCTCTCTCTTTGGGGCAGTAGATTCGCTGCAGCGGCTCGGCTGCCAGGGCGTCTGAGTGCTGCAGATCAGCAGGTCTATGTTTCTTACTTCCTTTCGTTCTTTCTGCAGCAGCAAATGGCGGCTAGCTCTTTGCCTGCTGTGGTTTTCATGTGTTTCTCTCAACCTACGATTGCTGCAGCAGAAAAAAAGCGCTTTGTCGACGAGACAGAGCGCCTCGCTGCAGACTTGGGAGCGCCGATATCTTGGCGGGATGCGTTCCCGGTTGGGAAGAGACGATCGCAGGCAGGCAGACTCTGTTTATGTTAGAGTGCTGAGGCCCCCCGTTTGCTACTACGGGTTTGAGGGAGGGCAAACTGAACACGTCCTCCCGAATTTTGTCCTCCGATGCAGGGGCCAGCCGGCAAGTGGTTGCAGGCTGCTCCCCGTGCGAGGAGGCAAACAAATATTTCAACAATGTTTTTGTTAAGTATAGATTACTATAGTTACAGGGAGACGCATATAATCGTGACATTCGTTTGCAGTTCAGATTGCTGGCGCTTCACCTAATATCCCCGAGGTTTTCCCCCATAGCAATGTACAGAATCTGCACTACTTTTCTGCAACATATATGATGTAAATGTATGCGTATATATACGTATATACAACATGTATATGCATACATTTAATATATATATATATATATNATATATATATATATATATGTAATTTAAACAGCCTGGGGAGGAGGGCCCTGCTATGCGGGCTGCAAGTATCCAGAAGCCTCCATGGGTGTCGTTGGGGGTGCTACTAGCCTAAGACGCAAATTGTGCTCGAATGGAGATTTCTCAGGAGAAGGGCTGTTGCCTCGCGCCACCCAGCTTGTAGACAAGCTCGGCGGCGGGAGGCGCCGGCCCTGATTGGTGACAGGTGACAAAGTCCATTTTGTAACGCTTCATGTTCACGGTCCAACGGACACGATATATTCGTCGTGCGTGTTCCATTGCCCCGTCTGGGAACGGGGCGAATAACACCCTTTTAAGCGTTGACCGGTTAGAAACGCCGAATTCCCTATTGTACAGCACCATCCACGCCATGCGGGCGGGACCCTCCAGGTGATATTGGATGAGGTGGTTTCCCCAGTGGCTGAACGGGTAGCCGACTCGCGTGGGCGCCTCCTCTGCCGGCTTAAGGAAATCTGACATGTGCTCACCCGATTCCTCCGGAATAGGTGGAGGTCTCTATTCTTTATACGAGGGAACCGGGGCGGTGGGACGCTGATGCGCATAGTTAGTAAACGGTGAGAAGTTAAAGGGTGCGTCCCTGAGCATAGGCATTGAATGAGGAAGGGTGTAGGCCACCATCATCAATGTTTTGGGGCCCTGAGAGAGAAAGTGGGCTAGCTGGGGCACCGAGCTAGTCCGTCCCTCTTGAACTGGACCAGCGCCACCGAAACGCGCTTCTACACTGGAATCCATCGAGCTCGGACCCAGATCCGCCGCACCCGATGAAGAGAGCCGGTCGCTGAAAGCAGAGAATACGAGGGGAGAGGGAATAGAGATCACACCGGAGCGGCCCCCGATTGTAGTGCCCTGGGCAGGCTGGAGTCACCTAGATAGTGTAGGATTCGACAGACGAACGTAAGGAAAGAGAATATAACGATAATTGTGAGATACGTAATCGTGTTTTAACTTAGTAGTTTATAAAATTAATAGATGTTTACAACTCGTCCCAAAAATACCCAGCGGGGACCTGTGGGCTAGCACTACACTCAACATGCCAGCCCAGGACAATTGCTAAAAGCGTGGTATGTTGAAAAAATAAGGATCGGGAATGTGTCAACCATAAAAAATGAGAAACAAAGTTCTGGTTCCGTGCTTGTTTCCCTTTGGGATTCCCCGTTTATCCCCCCTGGTAGTTCCCCTTTCCAGCTTCCTGCTCATGTTAGTCGTCTGCGCTTTCCTAGCGCGCTACCCGATGGCTGCTACGGTTTTCCGCAGTATAAGACTCTTCTAACTGAGACAAATGTAGCGGAAACGTTCAATACTTAATGATATACCCTGTAAGATACGGTTGCTGTCTAACGCAATCAATACAACGTGCGCATTGTATTGCTCGGCACTAGAAGCTGCTCCCTAGCAGAAGGCTTGGGGATATACAAACAATTACCTAACTGTGCCAGTTTACGAAACTTCGTCGAATTCAAATTTAATGATGTTTCTATTGAGTTAAGTGATATGAAGTATAGGCAGCTCACAACTTTCTGTCGCTTTCTCTACTGCAGATCTACTGGGTTGCAAATTGGTATACTACTACACTACAGTGGGGCTGCTGGCATTTCATCCTGCATGCGTTTGGTTTTTCTCTTCTCTTCTTCCGCCTTTCATCGTTCGCATTACTGTTTTCAAGAGGTGAATAATGCCAGCAACTGTTGAAAAATGCTCATGAACTCGCAACTAACGGACGCGGTTTCTCCTTGTTGCGGCCCCGCAGTCACCTACCCTTCCTGACCTTCTGCGTAGTAAACACGGGTCGGTTTGGTTTAATTTTCGTAGAAGGATATTTAAATAGGATTTTATGTGGATTGTACATTCTATTTGGGCCTTTTACGTGTTACTTTTGCTTAGATCGGACATCTTCCGTGTTACTGCAACGGCTGTCGATGTCACTGGACTGTGCAGTGCATCGAGTTCCAGTTTATAGTTCATGAAGCCTACAGAGCATGCCGATAATTGCTATTGAATCAGTTTAGTTAATACTTATCGACGTTTATTCACCTGTGGCCTCCCGCGGCCCGTGCATCGCCCGCATTCCGTCCGTGTTCCGTCTTCATTGTTTGAAGCGCTTCCGCCCGTATTCCTTCAATGGCGAAGGCGAAGAGGGGAGGAAGCCGCGGGACTGCGGCGAATCCTCGCGGCTCTTCTGCTGGTAAAGGAGATGCCAAAGAGGGCTACTCTGCGGCTGGAGAGGGGGCGTATCTCTCTGATGGTTCGGATGACTTCCTTCCGCTAGACGGAGAAGGCAGGAACGACAACTCGAGTGAAGATGAAAGCGCTATGTTGCGTGAAATGGGCCTTGAGGGGGCTGAAGATGCGACCAGCGAAGAAGAAGAGGAAAGCGATGACGACGCCGAAAGTAATTCGCAGGAATCCGGCTCAGACCAAGAGGAGGCTGACGATGCATCCTCAGGTAACGGCAATTGTTTTCTGCCCCCTTGCCTTTTTCAATTGTCCCATTCACACGTATTCGTCCATCGTCAGTTCGCTTCTGTTTCCAGCCCTCCCCGGGTCTGTTGGGCTCCTTTAGGAAGTTGCGAGGAAATCTTGCTGTACCGTGACTGCAGCGGTTAGTGCTGCTGCTATTTTTCTTAAAATATGCCCGGTTCAACAGTCAGTCTATCCATTCTCTCTAATGCTCCCAGTGAGGGTGAGGTGTGCAACGGAGGTTATGTGTGCTTCTCTGCGGTGTACAGACAGCAGCGGCGAAGAAGAAAGTAGGACTGCGTGGGGTCGCCGGGCGAAGGACTTTTACGGAGATAGCAGCAGCGGTGAAAGCAGCGACGATGAAGAGGAAATGAAGGAAAAGATGGCGGAGGCTGTGCGCGTGGCAGAGGTGGAGGACGTTGAGGGAATGACAGAAGCGGATTTCGGGGCAGACGCCCGATCTATTGAGGCCCTGCAGCAGCTGCTCGCCCTGCAACACAAGACGCTGGGCTTAAAGGAGCAGCAACAGCAAGCGCTGCAGCAAGGTGCTCAAGGCAAGGAGGGAACAGAGCAAGAAATGCTGTGGAAAGCCAGACTAGATGCGGTGAGCAACGCGCGGCCCTCTTGCAAGTGCTGTTGCAAGCGTTTTACTTGTTATAAGGGATGCAGTGCAGCTGCAACCAACTTGAATAGGAGGCACATGCCGCGCCTTCGGCACTTTTTCGGTTGAAGAGGAAATATGGTTTCTTTGCAGCAGTGACGGCTCATGGATTTTCGGTTGTGTTGAGGTTGAGGGGTTGGAGTGTACAGACGCTTGTGGGGTGGTTTCTTGTAATGCCATTTGTGTACTTGTTGATTTCATTTCTGCCTGCAGGAGGTGGAGGCGATATTAGATGGCTTCTCTGCTTCAGCGGAGCACCAGCAGCAGCAGAAGCCGCAGGCGGTTGCTGCCGGGCTGGGTGAAGAGGAGTTGAAGCAAATTGTTGCAACTGCACATCCCGAGCTGCACGGGTTGCTAAAGGAACTCCAAGACGCCCTCAAGGAAATAAACAACAAAGTGGAGCCACTCGTCGCTCTTGCAAAACGCAAAAACTTCCTCACGAAGGAGGTGCGTCAGGTGTACAGACAGCTGAGGAGCTCCGTAATGATCACCTTCACAGCTTTGCCACCGAAAAGGCACAACTTTCACAAAGGTTTAGGATTTAAATTTTAGTGTTTGATATATACTCGGGGGGGTCTTTGCCGCAGTTCGTTGTCATTCTTCTGCCGTAATTTTTCTGTCTGCTTGCTCTCAGGGCGTTTCTCTGCTGGACGCGAAGAACCAACTGCTGCTTTCCTACTTGAGCTATTTGAGTTACTACATCGTGCTGAAGGCCCACGGGGTGCCGGTGGCGAGCCACCCGGTAGTAGAAAGACTCATTGAATCCCGGCTGCTGCTGCAGAAGCTGCGGCCCATAGAGGCGGCCCTCAAGCCTCAGCTAGAGAGGCTTCTTGCCGACGGAGGTAATAGAAAACTTCTCATGATCTTTGTCTCTGAGTTTATATATACACGTATACCAATATTTCTGTCAGAATGTATTTGTATAATTGGATATATAAGTGTATCACCGCATCCTCATCTCTCTGCCTCTGCGTTAAGTTGCAACTGGTAGTTGTTTGTTAGTCATGAAGGATGCACGATCCCGAGTGTATTGAGTCCGTTACATTAGTTGTGTGGTTTCTGCTGTAACTGTGCTGTCCCCACTGTATCACTTAGTTGCAACACGCGGCTCAGGGAAAGGGCCTTTGGCTGCTCGCGGCTATGCCGTGTGCCACAGCCGACTTGCCCTAATTGTAAATAGTGAAATGCTAATTATGTCTACGCTTTTTGCCGTGGTTTGCACCCTGGTTGGCCACCTGTTTCTGGTGTATGTACAGGTCTCCACGCCGGTGCAGCCGCGGCGCCGCGGGCCCGGCCTGACTCGTTTGCTGCAGTGGGGGAATCCGATGACGAGCAGCAGCAGGATGGGATGTTGTCGGGTGAGGAGGAGAGTACAGAGAGCGGCGGATCAGGAGCTGAGGAGGACGCGAAAGGCAGCACACCATACAAACCGCCTAAAATGGTCTTAATGGAATACACCGGCGACAAAGTACAACTGTGCCCTAAACTCACTCCTTTCCTCCTCGTTTTTCAGCTGTTTTTACATCCTCTGGCAAATTGCATGGAAATCCTTCAGATAGGCAACAAGCAACCATTGCGACTTCTTGTTTGCTTCCTGTTTGTGTTCAGGTGTCTGCGCAGACACGCGCCTCTCGCGAACTGCAGCGGGCTGCGGAACGGCTGAAGAAGAGCGAGATGGTTCGAGCGGTTAGGGAGATGACGAGCGATGCGCCAGAAGAAATCGGGATTGAACGGTTCCTAGCAGCGCAGGCGCACAGAGCTGCGGCGCGGGAGGCCGGGCTCCTGCATGGGGGGGCTGGGGAGGAAGACGAAGAACAGTTTGAGCTCATGCGTCGCTCACTTTCCAAAAAGGAAAGAAAAGGTATTGTTCGCCTTTTTTTCTACTCGCATGAAAGGCTATAGCTTCGACAAACCAATCCCCTGCGATGATTGAATCGGTGCTTTTGCTGCGACATGTGTTGTTTTCTTTTCTCCTTGTTTTCTCGTGCTCATGAGTTTACCAGTTCTTTTGCTCGTGATGATGCAGTTTACCGAAGTTGGGCAGCTGTGCACAACTGCGAGGCTTTTAATGCGATGGCCTGACGAGGCTGAATGCCCGCGTATGGGTCTGTTTCCGGGATATGTTTGATGCACCTCTTCATTCTATACGTAGCGAACAATCATGCACCGAGTTGTTTGCTGCTTTCTAGTGTTCAAGTTTTCTGGCTGTTCTCCCTGTGCAGCTCAAGCCGCACAGCGCGCGCAGTTTGAGAGGCGCGCTGCAGCTGCGGTGGGTTCAACCTTAGAGGATTTGGCGGTGTTCTACGAACAGCCGCTGGTAGGGGAGGAGGACGGGGACGATGAGTTGGGTTTGCGCTCAAATAAGGGCAAAAGAATGAAGGCAAGAGGTGTCCTCGGACACTACCTCAATGCAGCCAAACAAGCAGCAGAAGAAGCAGCGAAAACGCACAAAGCACAGGCAGAGAAACTCATCATCGCAAGACAGCAGAACCTGCAGCATCTGAGCAGACGCAATACAAAAGATATCCACAAGTGAGCCCTGGGTCTCTACTGATCCCTCTGCCATGACCACGCGAGTTGCCCTCTGCTGCCTTTCTGTGTTTGCCTGACTGGAACACAGCCGCATTACGCATGTTCCTTTCACGCTCGTCTCGTGACAAAAAAGTGCAAACGTGCCAGGCTAGACCTTGTTCAATAACAGCTCTGCTTCTGTCTGCAGACAAAACCCAAGAATGCCTGCGGGGGAGGAAAGTGAAGACGAAGAGTTTGCAGCGCTAGTGGAAGAAACGAAGAAGAGGAAATCGGAGAGGAAGCAGCGAATGCAGGAAAAGGCTGAAGTGCCCGTGCCCCACATTGATGAAGAAGTTGACGGACAGAGGCGTAAGCAGCGATCGCGTTTCTGTGGTCTAGAGTTTAGGTTTTAGGGTTTGGGCGGGTGGAGGGGGGAGGGGGCCGGTTTGTTGTATCTGCTCTGCTTCATAACTCACGCTGTTCTTCTTCTGCTGATGTGTTTGGGTGGGGGGCGTAAGCAGCGGTCACGACTCTACGGTGTACGGTTTAGGGTTTAGCAGCGGTCGGATCTCTACAGTATAGGTTTTAGGGCTTGCGAGTTGCGTTGGAAGTCGCAGGGGTTTAGAGTTCGAAGACTTTCATCCGCGAGGAGGAGTGTATGCATGCAGTTCTCGCCAACACGTATGAGTGTTTGTTGGCCTTTTAAAACAAGAAGGAAGATCTTGCAACTATAACTCTGTGACGCAACGTGTGCTGCTGTGGTGGCGCAGGCATAACGCGAGAGATGAAAACAAATAGAGGACTGGTGCGAAAACGGAAGAAGTTCGAGGGAAATGCGCGCGTGCACAACAGAATGAAATACCAACAGAAGACAAAAAAGCTGAAGGTAAGTCCGGAACAGTCCAAATCCGTCTGGTGTTTTTATAAAATGGGAAACAAGGTAGTTGAAATTGCTTTCTTCCTGTTTTTATTTCCCTTCCTGGGTCAAAGAAATGGGTTGCCTTGCGTTGGCGTTCTCCCGTTTGACGTTGCATTTAAATATTTACTGCCGCATGCCTCAGTGCAGACATGTTTGTCTAATGGTTTATAATCTTGGCCTTACTTTTTCGATTTTATTTCGAGCTTGTTTGTTGTGGCCTTTCAGTCACTTCGTCAGGAAATGCGCCCTGTGGAGGACCGCAGCTACTCCGGGGAGGTGTCGGGCATTCGTTCGAATCTGAAACGATCGAGGACGTTACATTAATTGCTTTTACTATCCTTGTTTTATTTGCAACTCTTATTTTTTTTCTTAACTTACTCCCTCTGTCGTTTCGCCTGTTGCCGGTCTCCAGCTGGTAGTTCCGGCGGCAGCGAACGTCGGGGGACATTTCCTTGCAATACTTACCTTGAAGTGTTTATTAGTTTTTAATTGTCTCTCTGTCTGCACTTTCACTCCGATAAGACTACATATTTTCGACATTCAGGCGGTGCACATGCACCCGAAGCTGCTGCACTGCGACGCATCTATCATCTACGTTTGGCGATTCCTTGCACCGCCAGTCGTGTTCAGATACTTTATATGCAGTTCGATACTCATGTTCTCATTTTGCACGTAGTTTACGTTGAGTTAGGATACACGGCGTGCCCCTAATGGACATATATACGCATGCAGTTAACCACGGGGAAAGAATCTGTACCAGCAGCTAAGAATATTCATGGCTACTCTTAGTTGGTCCCCGGCAGCTCTTCAGCTGAAACCTTAGAAGTTTAGGGTTTGTCGAGAGGAAAGTGATTGACCTGCCACGGTGTGGCTGCGGGGCTCTGCGGAGTTGCCTGCGCTTGATGCTGCACGTTCGCAGTCTATATACAGCTCAGCTGTACAGCGCATGCAGTGAAGTCAAGCGGAAGGGTTGTAGGGCTTAACCGTAACATTGACGGTGTAATCGTGTTGATCAGGGGTAATGGGCACCTCAATAGGCTTCCTGGTGACGAGGTCTCCCTTTCTAAGGCTGCGTTCATCATCGTTAGGGTGTGCATATCCATCCCAGCCCAGGTGTACAGATGCTTCGAGTGTATATTTGGGATGTTCGTCTGCATTTGTTGACACTTTAGCGCAGAGGAAGGCGGGAACGGGTCTTTCAGGCTCATAGATTCCACTGATGTCTCCAGAAAACAACGAAATCACCTCGGGTTCGCCTGTCTCCGAGTCGGTCTCCCTGAGAGTAACCACCAGATAAGTTGGCTTAGGCAGCGTCCTGGGGGCCCCGATCTGCACTGTGGCCTTTACGGCAACACCTGTGACATCATCTGAGAGTTGCGCGAAGTTGCAATCTGCCACCGAGGGCTCGTTGCTGCTGCTGGTGGCGCCGTCAACCTTTGCAAGAGTCAGATCTGCTTCGTAGGTGTCGCTTCCGGCTGTAACGACAGTCTCCCCGATGCATTCCACCTTGGCCTCGGCCTCGGGGTCACTGACGCGAGCCTTGAGAGAGATCTTCTTTGCGTCCAAGTTCTGAAGATCAACGCAGAAGGCGTAGGGGATCTCCGCGTCTGGGGTGTACGACTCAAGTGGGACCGTGTGCGTGTAAATAGGCGTCTTCGGTTCCTCCCCCGATGCCGCTTCCTCTGAAACATCAATAGTCAACACTGCATCCTTTGAGAGGGTCTCAGGCCGATCACTCTCCTCAAAAGTCGCGCGGCCCTCGAAACGAACTTCGCCGTTTGGACACCGACTGGGAGCCTCCGGCTCAGCGCGGACAGCCAATGCTGCCGCAAAGGCAACAACAACGAGCCCCTTGATTGCCATCTTTAAAGATGTATAAACCTGAAACCGAAAGTCCCACAATCAGTGCATAAAAGAATTTCGACGGCACACAGGAGCCGAAGCCTCGGCGAGAACTGAGAAACACATGGGGATTCTCATGCATGCTGGTGGAAGCAGAGTGAAATATGATACTTAAATACTTATACAAAAGAAAGTATTTGGATACTTGCTGTATTTCATGCACAACTTTCGAAACAACAGAGGATCAGTGCAGGCTTTGTTGGTGACATCGTGTTGGGCCGATGCACAGAAGGCGCACACGGAAAGGGGCTTAATAGGGTGCAAAAAAAGTATCCCTTACCTGTAATTGTAGCAAGAGTCTTCAGAGAAATTTATTTTTAAATGTAACTCTACGTTGATACACCTGTGCCGTTCATCAGCCGGCCTGACCGGCGGTGTCAGGTGGGGTGCCTGTCGACCTATCGCTCAGGCTGAACGCGCCGCTGATCAGTCAAGTTTCCCCTAAAAGACACACTTGGATTCAAAGCATATTTGAGCGACTAAACAGATTGTTTGAGGTTTAAGATTTTTCGTGGGGCCTATTTCAGACAAACTCGCCTCTGAGATGAAGCTCCGCCGCAGCACTCCACAGTAGCCCGGTGNGTGGGGCCTATTTCAGACAAACTCGCCTCTGAGATGAAGCTCCGCCGCAGCACTCCACAGTAGCCCGGTGGTGTTGCTAGAGTCACGCCCCACGCATTGAAATATGTACTGAAATATGCACGGTATAGCTATAAATTTCATCTCCTTCTCTTTTTCCTTGTTTTCTATTTCTGTGAGAATAATTTATAGGCCTTTTCACTCCAACACTCCCCTCTATCTCATCGGCTAGAGACCCGCCAGCCAGGTAGCCAGGCAAACACATATATGCTGGATCTTAGAAAGAAGCAGTATAGGTTTATTAGCAAGCGGAAGTACATAAATTTTGAGTGGGGCAAATGGTGAAGGATCATATTGTTCGGGGGATGCGTGGCTGCGCCTCACATATATTTGGAAGAGATAGTCGTCGGAACGAGCTGTTCAGCAGCCCGACTCCTCCACCTTAGCCGAGGACTGTCCCGAGCTCCTACAGAGTCAAAAAGCTTAAGATAAGAATTACTCAAGAGCGGTTTACCTCACCAGTCCCAAGGTTTGGCTTGGGGGAGGGTCGGCCGACGACGCTTGCTCTCTAAATCAAGGACAGAAGCGAGCTACAATGTAGGTAAAGACTTAAAGTAAGAGTTTCCCAAGGGAAGCTGACCTCCTTCACCTGTCCTCAGGCGTCCTAGGCGTTGAGCTCGGGGCCTGGGTGTTGCGGGGAGGAGGCAGCATGGAATGGGGTTGCAGCGCACCTCGCTGCGGCTGGTGATACAAGCCAGCCTCACGCGTGCACACATGGAAGTTTCAGGGAAGCTTCCTTTGCTGCATGCTTTACCTCTGGTTCACTTGTAGAACGTCTGTATTTGCTTACACCCAACCTACCAACCCCATGTGAAGGCTGCCTGTGCAGGCAGACTACACGGCCTTTCATCTGTTGCGCTACAACTTGTTGCAGCCCCTGCTGCAAGGCTCTGCTGCAAGGCCTATCCACACTCAACAGTAGTTAATCATTAGTTCCCTCTATACGTCTACAATATCGAGACGTCCTGTCCTGTTTGCTGCAAGAGAAGCAGGCATGCCCCCGGCACGTCCCCCCAGCTTTCCGAATACTGGATTCTCCACGTGTGCTGCTTGTTCTAGATGCTTAATCCTTTTTGTGTGGGGCTTGTAACCGGAGGGCCAATACCTTAGGCCCTACTTCTGGAATTTTTCGACATCAAATCCTTCCCACTCAGGTAAGGTAATAAAACTGGTATTCTTCCTATCTGTTGTGTATGTACTCCACGCCTTCAGCAAAGTCCTCCATTTCACCCCCCTAGTTCCCTCTAGAGGCCTATTGCCTCTCTACAGTGTGAAAGCTTGCTATGAACCATCGAAGTGCAAGCACCGAGCCCACTTTGCGACATCTGCTCACCAATGATATTGATACCTCTGTCTATAACTGTCTACCAACAGCTTCCCGCGTTTAGTTTGTTAGAACCATGCCGTAGCTTTTCCGCTTGCTAGTGACAGGATAAAGGTGCAAAGTCCGTATGCGCTCCGGAAAAGTGTTACAGTTGCTTATCGATCGCTGCTCGACCTTCTAATACACAAGATGTCAATCGCAATCGTAACATTGCCGGTGCACTTTCACGAGAAAAGTACACCTCCAGAAACATTGAACTCTTCCATTGTCTACGAATCGCAGCGCCGGTCATTTCTGGACAGTTGACAAAGACGGTGTTTTTCGTGATTCGTTACAGCTGTAAAGGCACTTCCTGCTATATGACGTGCAAGCGTTACACGTGTACAAATGCAACGAGGTGCCCAGCAGTGGGTCGCCTCCTCAACTGAGAGTAGACCACGATTGACGTGTGTGCAAGAGGAGGCGGGGTTGACTGTTTGATGAGAATATCAAAAGATACTCTTACTCGGAAAGTGCCTCCACAACTAATCTGTAGTATGCATCAGCCCTCCTGTTTTGGGGGTTCGCTTCTGGT